TCGTGCACACGGCCTCCCTCCTGGGTGTGGGATGGCATGTCTCGTGCACACGGCCTTCTCCCTCCTGGGCGCGGGATGGCACGTCTCGTGCACACAACCTTCTCCCTCTGGAGCGCGGGATGGCACGTCTCGTGCACACGGCCTCCCTCCTGGGTGTGGGATGGCACGTCTCGTGCACACGGCCTCCCTCCTGGAGTGGGTGTTCGCATCCCCTTTTTATGATACGGAGCCCGGTCTCGTCGGATGGGGGCCCACCCATTTTCCCGTGTAACCTTAGTCACCTCTTTAACGGCTGAGTTTCAAAAGCTGCCACATTCGGAGCTATCGGGGGCTAGGGCTCCAAGACAGCTTCTTTTGGGGTCAAAATTCAGCCGTAACAGGAGGGCCCCGATGGGCAGCACCTCAAGGCTGTGGGAAGGACCCCCCAGGGCCAGGGCATCACAGCAGCCTGTTTACTCACCAGTTTGTTTCTGGTGGAAAACCCCTCAAGATGCAGAGAGGCTGCAGCCACCAGGGTCCCCAGAAGGCCTTGGGCAGTGGGGGCCTGTTTATCTGGGAACCGGGGTGGGTAGTGAGGAGGCACCCTGCGGAGCCTCGGGCTGGTGGGGAACGACAGCTGGTGAGGGCAAGGGGAGGGCGCTCAGGAGGAAGCTGGCACGTGGCACGTTTGCCTGGTAGCCAGTCCACGTGGCCCCAGCCGTGGCTCCTGTTTGCCACAGGCAGCAATGGCAGCAGACCAAGGCCGACCCAGCACTGGCCAGAGCTCAGCGGCTGGGGCGTCTCCCCTGCTGGGGCTGACGCAGCCCGGGAGGCCGTCTCTGCCTGATTCCCGCACCTCCCAAGGTCAGCACCAAGAGGAGCTCCTTTCTCATGCCAGAGGGTCCAGAAAGCTTTCAGGGCATGAATTTAAGGAAGAATAATGTCAGGCTCCAGAATCAACATGCACACCCCCCTGCGAAGCCCGTCAGGGCCACTCAGCTGCAAATGGCAGAGGACAAGGCTGACACAGCGAGCGGGGGCAGGGCGGGTCAGGGTGAGCCAGGTCCCCGGCCTCTGACTCGGCCTCTGCGTCTCGGCCCCACTCTCCCCCGTGTGGACCCGTCCTGGTGGGCCCTGAAGCCGCACAGCTGAGGCGCCAGCTTCTCCTCCCAACAGCCGTAAAAGCGCAGGAGTCGGGTCCCTGTGACCAGGCCGTGCACAGCCCCCACCTTCCCACGGCGGAGCTGTGCCTGGGAGGCGCGGTGCCTGAGTGTGGGTCTGGCCAGATGCCGCCTGGATTTGGGAGACTCTTGAGACAACGCAGACAGAGCTTTCGGCCACCCCCATGGGGCGTGTGCTGGACGTGCCGTCCCCACGGAGAGACGTGCTCTTGCTAACCAGACATTCTTCTCTCAGGACTCACCGGCCCCTCGGATACCACTTGGCCACGCCTGCTGCGTGGTTGAAGCCTGGAGGTCCCCACACGGAGGCACGGAGATGCCCCTGCACCCGCTGGGGGACAAGCCCTTTGTCCGGGGGCCGCCACTCACCTTCCCCAGCCCCACTTCAGCCATGGAAAACGGGTTTGACCACACCCCACCCGGCAGGAGGGCGTCCCTGGCTACGACCCTGAGTCCCGGCTCTCTGCACGCTGCTGCCCATAGCCCCCTGGACACCAGCAGCCAGTCCCTCTGCCAGCCCCGGGCCGAGAAGCGCGGCGCTCGCGGGGCCCACGAGGCACGGTATGTCTCGGCCAGGCAGAGCACGGTGTGCGGCTGGTGGGCCTTCACGCCGCGGTGCCTGCAGGTCCTCAACACGTCCAAGGGCATCCTATTCTTCCTTTGCGCGGCCGCCTTCCTGCAGGGCATGACCGTGAACGGCGTCATCAACACGGTCATCACCTCCCTGGAGCGCCGCTACGACCTGCACAGCTACCAGAGCGGGCTCATCGCCAGCTCCTACGACATCGCGGCCTGCCTCTGCCTCACCTTCGTCAGCTACTTCGGGGGCTCCGGGCACAAGCCGCGCTGGCTGGGCTGGGGCGTGCTGGTCATGGGCGTGGGCTCGCTGGTCTTCGCACTGCCGCACTTCACGGCGGGCCACTACGAGGTGGCGGCAGATGCGGGAGTCAGGACATGCCCCGCCGACCCCGGCGCAGTATGTGCCGACAGCGCCTCGGGTCTGTCCCACTACCAGCTGGTCTTCATGCTGGGCCAGTTCCTACACGGCGTGGGCGCCACACCCCTCTACACGCTGGGCGTCACCTACCTGGATGAGAACGTCAAGTCCAGCTACTCGCCTGTCTACATTGGTGAGTGGGTTACAGGGGACCCCGGGCGGGGCAGCCAAGGGCAGTGCTGCGGGAGTGAGGATGAGCGGCCGGAGCCAGCGCTGCCCCTGCCTTCCAGTGGCCCTTGTCTGCATGGCGGGGGCTGCCACGAGAGGTGGTGGGGGAGGGGTCCATCCAGCCTGAGGCCCAAAGCTGATGCAGGGGACCCCAGCGTTCTTATGCAGACCCTGCTCAGGGCTCCAGGCCGCTGTGCCCAAGAGCCTCAGTTGGACCCCTGCTCAGCGTCCAGCCCCCCTTGCTAGGACCAAGGGTCACAGGGTCACCAGGTGCCGGGTCGTGCCCAGTCCACTGCGGCTGCCGTCATGCTCAGGATGGGAGCCTGGCACCTGACTAGGAAGGAGGGGCTTTCCTGTGGGATAAGAGCCCAAGACCACACCCATGTCTCCCTGAAAGCATCACGTGGGCTCCAGCAGCCACACAGGGGTGTGGAAAAGAAGGAGCAAACCCGGAGAGTCAGACTTTCAGGGAAAATCACACGAAGCAGTTCAGGCCGCTTCACAGCTGCCCAAGAGTTAATGTCTGTGCCACACTCTGCGAGGCAGCTGCCCTGGGCCCTCACTGGCGTCTAGCTCCTGTTTGTTGAGACACAGGGAAGCCCCGGGGCCTATCCCACGTGGCTAAGTTGACCCTGTGCATGGCCCGCCTGAGCCCACTTCTCCACGTCCCCCTGCCTGGCTTGGCTCTCCTGGGAAGGCCCTCGTAGGGACGTCACAGGGAGCAGCTGGCCGCAGCGACCTCAGCCTCCTCCTGTCCTCCTTGAGCTCCACGCCCCAGTCACTGGCAGTGACCATCCCAAGAGCCAGGGCAGGTGCTGGGGTCTCACTCCAGCGAGGGGACATCCACCACGCCGGACCTTCCACGCAGCTGGGCCAAGGGGCTGAGGCCTCTCTGGGCCCGTTCCCCACCCTGGGCCCCTCATTCCTGCCAGGGTCAGCCCGTGCGGCTCCTTAGTCGCCAGATGGGGCTTCCCGAGCGTTTGCCCTTTCGTGAGGGCAAGACCACAGTGCACTTGACTTCGAGGGCATTTTTAAAAGCTGACACTGACTCATGTCAGGCCGAATGGCAGCTGCACGGACCCCCCTAACTTAAAAGTGGCCCCGAGGGGAGTGGGGTAGACGGGGGATGGTTGAGGGGGGGAGATGGGGGACAGTGCGGGAGACGCGGGACGGGGTGGGGGAGGAGACAAGGGATGGTGGAGGAGACACAGGTGGGACGCTGGGAGACAGGAGCAGTGGGCTTAGGGCTCCTCTCAGGCGCGGGGCCCCGCGTGACCCTCCGCAGCCCCTGGGTGGTGCCCGGGTGGCCCTGACGCCCTGCCTGTCTCACAGCCATCTTCTACACGGCGGCCATCCTGGGCCCCGCAGCTGGCTACCTGATCGGGGGCGCTCTGCTGAACATCTACACGGATGTGGGCCAACGGTGAGTGGCCACCACCCTCCTGCCTGCCGCGGGGCCGCACCCACGGGAGCCCACTGAGCTGTCTGCACAGCGAGAGACCTGCGTGTCTCTGGAAGGGGGTTTTGAGCCCACACGCTGAGCCAGGCCTGGCGAGGAGCAGGTGCTGGGTCCCCCGGGTGGGAGGGAGTCAGGGCCCACCTTGGTTTTGGAGGACTCGGCGGATCTGTGGGGGGCCTTGGGAGTCTGCCCCAGGGCAGGGGGCAGGGAAGACGGAGGGTACCCGAGGCCCAGGCACTTCCAAAGCTCAGCTATCCCTGGCCACTGTTTCCCTGATGGAACTGAGATTCCTTTGTTTTCTTTCCTTCCTTTGTATCTTGTGTGTGGCCCCAGTTTCTGTAAATGCAAACAGGAGAAAGCAAGGGGGCATCAGGGAAAGGGCAGAGAGAGACAGAGACGGATGGAGAGAAAGAGACGGAGAGACAGAGACAGACGGAGAGAAAGAGACGGAGAGACAGAGACAGAATGAGAGACAGATACAGAGAGAGAGACAGAGACGGGCTCGTGTCCTGCATCTGGATTCTTCTCTGGGTCTCTGCCCCATCTGGCTGCCGGTTCTGGGCCTCCTTTGCACAGCGGAGGGAGGCAGGCAGGGTCTGGCCCTGGAGGCGCCACAGCATTTCCACGCCAGAGCAAGCCGGTGCCGCCCGGCTGCAGCTTCGAGGGATGTTGGCGCTCCCCACGCCCTCCGTCTGTCTCTGCGGCTTTGCTCCCAGCCTTTGCTGGCCTTTTGCCCTCCTGCCTCCTTCTCGCTGCAAAGATGCGTCCCTGGAGGCCCAGAGCTGGGATGAGCTTTTGCCACTCACCGTGGCCGGCCCAGCCCATGCTTCTTCTCCACCCACCTTCTCATTTGAAAGCGCACTTATGTGCACATCGCCGCGTGCCCGACAGTGCCTTTGAGGGGAGCTGTCGGTGAGCTCCAGCTGAGCCCCCCGGTGTCCCCAGGAACGCCACCTGTCACCCCCTGCACCGTGGGAGGGATGCCTTGGCCTGCTGTTGCCTGGAGAGCCTGACCCTCCTAACCTCCAGCGCCACTGTGGTCTCAGTCAGGACCAGGCCATGGGTGGCATCTCCAGACCGGGAGCATGGGCCAAGGCAGGGACCCGTCTGTCCTACAGCCAAGCCAAGGTGGTACTTGCTTTGGTTTGCAAGGAAGGGACAGGACCTGTGGCCAGCAGCCCCGGAGTCCGATGTTGACCAGCGTGTAGGCAGACCCTGGAGGTCTGCCCAGAGGAGGGGTCAGGGGCCCCCAGTGTGTGTGCCACGGAGGGCATGGGTGGACCAAGTGCTGACCCAGGTTCGCCACTGCCTCTTCCACAGGACGGAGCTGACCACCGACAGTCCACTGTGGGTGGGCGCCTGGTGGGTTGGCTTCCTGGGCTCCGGGGCCGCCGCCTTCCTGATCGCCATGCCCATCCTCGGCTACCCGAGGCAGCTGCCAGGTGGGTCTCCCTCCCCAGCCCAGCCTTGGCGTTGGGAAGACCGTCCCTCCCGTTTCCTGCGCTGTCTTTTCCCACTGTGATCAAATCTGTAGCACACATGCCTCATTCTCAGCCTTTGATCTTCATCTTCCCATCTGGGCGGAAAGACCCCTCCTGGCTGTGGCACAGGTTTTGTGTCCATCCTGTCCCCCTCAGGAACAGGCTTGTCCCGGTCAGGGCAGAGCGTCTGTCCCGCCTTCCCGCAGGCACCGCTTGGCGCCCCCAGCCCTCCCACGCCTCCGACCCGTTCTCACACGGTTTCTGCTCCAGTGCCCCCACACCGGGGCTGCGAGGGCTGCAGGGATGTCGGACAATGACATTCTCAGAGTAGGGAAGGCGGGGGAGTGGGCAGAGCCTCCCCAGAGAGGCCCCCGGGAGCCCCCAACCCCAGCTGGCTCTGCCTTCCAGGCTCCCAGCGCTACGTGGTCGTGAGAGCGGCGGAAGTGCAGCAGCTGAAGGATGGCAGCCGCGGGGCAGCCAGCAGCCCGGGCTTCGGGACCACCCTCAGAGACCTGCCTCTGTAAGCACCCAGGCGGGGCGTCCCTCATGTCCTAAACCCTTGGAGGGCCCCAAACAGGGGAGTCGGTGAGACCCTTCCAGATTGTGTGATGCAGATGCAGCCCCTAACCTCTGTCTCGACCCACCAACCCCTGAGACCTGGGCCGAGAGATTAAGGAGCAGGAAATAGAACCTCCCAGGCCAGGGAACGCAGACCCCCCTGAGTCCCACAGAGCTGTGGCTGAGTCCCACAGAGCCGTGGCTGAGTCCCACAGAGACATGGATGAGTCCCACAGAGCCGTGGCTGAGTCCCACAGAGCCGTGGCTGAGTCCCACAGAGACATGGGTGAGTCCCACAGAGCCGTGGCTGAGTCCCACAGAGCCGTGGCTGAGTCCCGTGGGGCCGTGGGTGAGTCCCATAGGGCCGTGGGTAAGTCCTGAAGGGCTGTGGGTAAGTCCTGAAGTGGGGCCAGGGCCTCTGCCCACACCCAGGGACCCGTCACTCACACAGTGCAGAGGCCCCTGTGGACTGCGCCTGGTTCCTGATGGCCTCAGAGCAAATCCCTTCCACACCAGCAAGTCTCCCCAAGGTTGCGTGTCCCAGGTCCCCCAGGGAAGCTGCATTGGACTTGACAGCCTTCCGAAAGCATAGCCTCCACTCTGACTCCCTTTCATCAGGCGTCACCTGTGCTGTGCCCCGGGGTCTGGGATGCTGACCTCTGTCTCCCTCCGTCCCTCAGGGTCTCTGAGGTCCGCAGAAGGATCAGATTCCCCTTTTACCTCCCCTCTACCCTGCGTGTCCGCTCACCCCTCCGGGGAGGTGGCCTGCTTTGCCGCCTGCCTTCGCTGCTGAGTGTGGTCCGGCTCCCTTTGCTGACTTGCTGCGCTGCTAGGGAGGACCCGGAGGCCCGAGCCGGTGGGGTCCTAGAGGGACAACGTGGGGGCCCGGGGCCTATCGGTCTCTTCTGGGAATCATGCCTGCCCTGGGGGGGCTATCCCCAGGGCTGGGCAGGGTGGCCCTCAGGGTGGCCGGCACCCAAGTCCTCGGCCTCTGAGGCCCTAGCACGGGGGACTCTGTGCCCTTTAGCAGCTGGTCCCTGTGCTCACCAATGGCTGCATCTCACTGGCCATAGTGGGTGGAGGGTGAGGGCAATGGGCGAGTCCCCACTGCCTGCCCTCAACTGGGCCAGGAGGAAGGCGTCAGGGCCAAAGGCGGCCGCTCAGAAAGCTCCGGGCAGAGGGGAGCCGGGCTGGATGAAGGTGAGAGGAGGGGCCTCTTTAGGGCTTTGGTAGGCCCCAGAGGAGCTGGGAGCTGCCTGCTAAGGAGGGTGAGCCCATGGGCCAAGGTGACCTGGGGCCACGTCCACCAGGAGTTGGGGGAGCATGGTGCAGGCAGCAGCTCACCCTGTGTCCCCCACCCGGCAGCAGAACGGCTCAGGGCTGAGGACTGGGCGCCCCGTTCCCTGCGTGGTTGGCTGCGAGCCCAAGGTGTGGGCCTGGCCCTGAGCCTTTTGTTCATCGTGATAAAGAGGTCTGTGTCTAGAGCTGGTTCCCTGAACCCGTTTCTGGTAAGATAGGGACTGTGGGACGTGTGCGCTTTATGAAAGTCGTGACTAACTCTCTGGGCAAATTCAACACGAGAATTTCAGACAAGCAGTCCATGATAAAGAAATGAGGAAGTTTGCATAGAGCCTTGGAGAGTCATGGCCCTCCTAATGCAGTCCCGCACCCCTACCCTAGCCTGGGCAGGTCTGGGAAAAGCCCCAGGAAGGGATTCCCCCAGGACCCCACACACCAGGACGCCCTGAGGGTGCCCCCCAGCCTTGTCTCCCCACACAGCAGGACCCCCCAAGTTGCCCACCCAGCCCTGTCACCCCACACACCAGGACCCCC